CCTTTTGAGAAGTTTTTAAAAGTGGCATGGTAAGTAGTCACAGATTCAGTTGGTTCTTGCCTATGCTTTTCAAGATCACATGTCTATTTATTGATCTATCACTGGGTAAAAAACTGCTGTTTAAATTTATTAGAAATGGTCTTCCATTTCATGGCATTAGTATCAGTATTATTGTTCTCAAAATATGTTATCAACTATTCCTCAACTTCATTCTGGAAGTAGGCATTAAGTATACAGATCAGTTTTTTGCCTATCCATTGATTAACTATCATTATCTTTTCAAAGGTAGTCAACCAAGTGATAGGATCCTGGGTTCTATCACCAGAGAAGGGTTCCACTTGCAGTATATTGAAGTGTGAGAGCAAAGGATGTTGTTCAAAATAATCATAGATGTCCTTGGATATTGTCATTATTATATGGATATGTGTATTATTAAGAGAGGTAGATATAGTAAATAAAATATAAGAAGAAGAAGAAATAGAAATAAAAGAGTTGAAAAGTAATTCAAGATATAAGGGTTCATTGAAAAATAAAAGGTTTTTGAAATAATTATAAGTTTTAGGTGGGCTAAAAGAAGAGTGAGCTATCCAAGATATACAATCAGCAGGCAAATTAGATGGTTCAAGGGAATCAATAGTAAAGAGCTTAAATTGTGTAATAGTGGATAAGCCTTTCAAATAAATGTTATCAAAGGAATAAATATATGTGTATCAAATAGTAAAAATTAATTTTTTGATGGTAATAAATTCAAAATAAAAGGAAGAAGCAGTAAGAGTTTGATTAAAATAATATTGGGTTATAAAAGTGTAAGAAGTAGTAAAGAATTCAAATTTGAACCAATTCCAAAAGTTTTTGAAAATAAGAAAAGATTCCTGGGATAGGTAACAAATTAAACAAGAGTTATCAATATAAGAAGGATAAATTTGATTGATGTTGATATTTAGATATGTTTTGTGAAAAGTATTATATACAGTATACTATTAGTAATGAAATAGTTTTTTAAACTATTCATATAACAAAATTCAAACCCTTTACTAGATTTTGGATTTCTGAATCACTTCCTAAATAAATATCTCCAATAATGAGCAAGGCTTCCTAATTGTTCTCAGAGAATAGTTTATAGAGTAGTAAATCTCACAATTATTACCAATTTGTCAACCTATCCAATAATTTCCAAATCAGACAGATAGAGAGACAACTATAACAGTAATCCACTTTAAGTTGAGGGAAAATACCTCAATCGTTATATACTAAAGTTGATAATTCAAGGATAGTAGAGATTACACAAATACGTTGAAAGAGGCTTTGGGTGATTTGGTTTAATTAGAAGGTTTATTGGAGATATATAATATCAAGGATAAGTGAATTCAGTAGGTAAAAACCTTGGACCAACTGCTTTAGACAACTGGCCTTTATATACATAATTGAATATTAATTATTTAATAATCAAAGTGACCAAAGTGATTAAATCTGCCAGATTTGCCAAATCAGGTCAATATGCCAGATCTGCTCACTTGGGTAACCTGCTAGCTAAATATAGATAAGATATGATAATAGAATAAAGAAAATAAATATTGCGCGTTATGTCAATTACTACTTTGCCCTAATGATTGGATCTATCCTATGAACCAATGAGACATACCTTGCATCACATGTATTATATGATCAAAAATAGAACTAAAGTAACACAATAGATAAAACCTATAGATAATAATCAAAGAAAAATATAACTAATAATTAAGGCTAACAATATTTAATTTTATACTTAAGCAGTACTAACAACAAGTTTTAGATATCTGTCGATACATGTTTTCAATATACCAAAAGAGTTATGAGAAACAAGCCAACAGTATCTGCATAAAGAAAAAGTTATCATTATGAATAGTCTCCTGTTTAATTATGCAATATGTATTTTCCTGTCAATGTGACTTTAAGTATACAGCAAAAAATTGCCAAGTATGAACTTTCAAGATTAAATGGAAACAAATATGGAGCAGTTGAAAAAGATATCTTAATTTTTTATGACAAAAAGGAAATTAAACTTAACCATCCCTTGGATCTCTATGAAGCATATGTATCCTAGAGGTATAGCAAATTTGCCCATATTAATACAAATTTTCTGGACCATATAATTGCAACCAGCTGCCTAAAAGGAATTTGCTCTGAAAGTGATCCAGAATTTACTTGCTGAGAAGAAAATTTCGATAGAGTCAACTTCTATATAGATAAATAGAAAATAAAAGTAGAGATGATAGATATTTTTATAAAAACAATAAAAAATTTTTGAAATATAAAATATTAAGTTTTTATTTAAATTTTATATAAGGCAATACTTTTTTTAGTCAGCTAAAATATGAGTTACATGGTATAACTATTTTGCTGAAAAAAGATGTAACTAGTGGTTTATCACAAAACCTGGTAAAAAAAACAATAACAGTAATTAAAAATAAAAAGAAGGAACTGAAAAAGAAAAACATATGAAGTATTGACAAGAGCAATTGCAACAATATCCTTTTGCTTTGCTAGCACTAGAAGAATCAAAAAAAAAATCAAGGCAGTAGCAGTACTACAGAAAATTTAAATTATATAGGTATATATTTTAATTTAAAAGAAAATGATCATGAATAGCAATAATTATAAATATTAAAAATGTAAACTATTAACTAAATGTTTATAAATAAAACTTAAAAATAGCAAGTAAACATTAAGTAATAAGAAATAAAAAAAAAAATACAATTAAAAAAATATAGGATTAATTGAACAGATACAGATCAAATAAAAATAAATCTGTTTGGATATAGATTGAATTAAATAAAAATTGATCTGATCTAATTCAATCCATTGTGATCCCTATTGAAAGTATATCCACTTTACTATAGACTTACAAATTATTAATACTTTATATATGAGTAATAACAATTAAAAAGATTTAATAATATTTTTATTAATAAATTTAATTAAATTCAACAATAATTGATTATTAAATAATACAATTTTAATTGATGAAACTTAGTAAAAAATAGAAATTAGATTTATTTTTAATTGTTTTCTAATATTATAATTGAACTATTTTTAAAATTAATAATTTTTAAAAATGAATAAAATTATTTGAAGAATTATTATTAAAAAAATTTAATAAATCTATAATTAATTTATTAATTTATATAATATAATAAAAAAATTTCTTTGATATTTTGATTTTATATATATTGTTATTGTTATTGATCATAGAAAATCTTTGTGAAAAGAATATAGATAACAACATATAGTAGAATTGTAGATCTTACTATACATAATAATTTTATCACAATTCTACCATTATTAGCCTTATCAATTATTATTAAATCCATCAATAATTCTATCTTTTAGAGTTTTTAAAATTTAATTTTACCCCATGTATTATTTAGACTTAAGAAAAAAATTTCCGGAGCTTCTGAGCATTTAGTTTGATCAATCAAATTGTGAGAACCAAAATGTAATTTAGGTTTTGTTTATTTTTTATTTAATTTAAATATACTGTATATGGGTAATTATTTTCGAAGGTGGACAGGGATTTTTTGGACTCTATAATTGTGATCCTAAAATTTACTTTATATACTTATTATTTAAAACTGGGGGCCGAAAAATCATATTTAGTATTTTGGTCGCCTTTAAGAATGATTGTCCACATTAATAGTTATCTCGTAATGCAAAATTTATTATATTATAATAAAGCCCTTAATTTATATTGTATTGTATTAAATCGACTTGCTGAAAAAGAATTACCCATATAAATACTGTATATATATATTTAAAATATATATATAATGTATAGTTTCGTGGAAAGTTTTGCGGGTAGCATGTACAGTATATAGTTTCGGGAAAATTTTTTTTTTGCCGAGGGATCATACATAGCATGTAGATAGTTTTGTGGTGATTGCTTTTTTTCGATGAGATCGTGCATAGCATGTAGATTGTTTGCGGTGATTTTTTTTGTGAAGGGTTTAGATAATTTTGTAATATTTTTTTTTGTGGAGGAATTGTGCATAGCATGTGATAATATTTTTTTTTGTGAAGAGATCGTAAAAAATGTCTAGCCTATCATTCCATTATTGATGGGCATGCTCTTCGGTTGGACTTCTTTACTTTGCATTTTTCACTAAATAATGTTTAGTATGTTATAATACGCCTTGGCTGTAGTGAGAATTATTTATGTGAACAGAACTTGGAACTATGTTATATATAATATATATACCTTTTTCTTTATAATTTGTTAATTCTACCGAAAAAAACTTTCTTAATGTGGATCTGAAATTAGAGGAAGTTATCTACTAAGAAACTAAAGTGGCATTTATTTTTTAAAAAAAATTAATTACTTGTTAATTTTACCGAGTGTCAGATGCACATATGATACAATATCTTCGCTTATTTCAGATAATATGGATTATTCTTGCATTTAGTTTAGCTAACACATTCATAATGTAAACGTGAAAGCACTACCCTCGACAGCCTCGAGGGGCATAATACACCCTATCGGGCCACATATCTGACCCTTCTCGACCATATCGAGGGGTGTAGTACACCCAGAATGCATACGTAGAAACCTCACAATAATCAGTGGTACCGCCACGGTTCTCCTCCCTATCGGGCCATGCAACTGATCCTCCTCGACCATATCGAGGGGCATAGTGCACCAGAGTGCACATGTGGAAGCCCCACGATAATCAGTGATACCGCCACGGTTCTCCTCCCTATCGGACCACGCAACTGGCCCTCCTCGACCGCATTGAGGGGCGTAGTATACCCAGTATGCACACGTGGAAGCCCCACGATAATCAGTGGTACCGCCACGGTTCTCCTCCCCATCGGGCCACGCAACTGGCCCTCCTCGACCACATCGAGGGGCGTAGTGCACCAGTGTGCACATGTGGAAGCCCCACAATAATCAGTAGTATCACCACGGTTCTCCTCCCTATCGGGCCACGCAACTGGCCCTCCTCGACCACATCGAGGGGCGTAGTACACCCAGCATACACACGTGGAAGCCCCACAATAATCAATGGTACTGCTACGGTTCTCCTCCCCATTGGGCCACGCAACTGGCCCTCCTTGACCACATTGAGGGGCGTAGTACACCAGCATACACTTTGAAACTCCAAGATAATCGGTGGTGCCGCCAAGGTTCTCCCTTTCCATAAAATATCGAGGGCGTAGTACACTAGTGTGTACATGTGAAAGCACCAAATGATACCGCCTCCCCCATTGGCTGACCCTCCTCTAAAGTATCGAGGGGTATAGTATACCCAGTGTGCACACTTGGAAGTCCTGCTTATGACAAGTGGTACTGCAATGGTTCTTCTTATCGGCCAAGCATCTAACCCTCATCGTGGGACATAGTACGCGAATATTCGATGCAGACGCGGATCCAGTATACATCAAATGATTAGATTGATCAGTCGAAGACTCTTGTATTCTGTAAAACAAGAATAGTGAATAATAGTCTTAAGCCTACCTTCGTAACGAAGTTTTTTTTTTTTATTATGTGAATTGAACAATAAAGTGGTTTTGTACTTATAATTTCTGATTTAACCAATTAGAGTAGGACATGCGTTGGCCAATCAAAAATGGTGTAGAAATTAAAAAAGAAGAAATTATATTTAAAAGAAATTAAATTTAAAATTTCGAATAATTTTATTAATAAATAATAATATTTATACTTGAAAATTTTTTTAACTTTCAAATGTTTGCATAAAGTGATTATAAGAATTTTTTTACAAATAAAATATTTCTAATTAGTAAAATTAATATTGAATAGCTTGTTATTTAGAAATAGTTGAAAGATTATTTAATTTATATATTAAAAAAAGAAGATATAACAATTCTTCCAAATCTTTCTAAGCAAATATGTACAAGCAAGTTATATTATTTCTAAGAGAAAAAAAGTGTTTAAAAAATAAAATAAAATTTAATAAATATTATAACAATCTAACTTTATCTTTTTATTTATATTAAATCTTTATTTATTTATTAAAGCTTAAGAGAATCAATCTGACAACTAGAAATAGATAATTACAACTTCAAAAATTATTGTAGTATCTTGTAACAATATCTTATATTTATTTACACCAATCAAAATTATTTTATTTGATAGTTGAATTATTGTCAAATTTAATTAAATTTAATAATAAAAATATTATTGAATTCTTTTTAATTACTGTCACTCAGTATATTACTATTTCAGCAATAAAGTAGCAATAAAAAATTCAGTAATCAAAAATTTAGCAATAAAAAAATTCAACAATCAAAAATTTGATAATAAAAAAATTTGGCAATAAAAAATTTATCAATTAAAAGTTTAATAATAAATTATTAAAAATTTATTAACAATTTATTAAATAATCATTCACTCTTTCCTAACCACTTGAGGCACAGCAACCTTAACAATAGAAAAATGGCTTTCAACACTAGAAATCCCAAGGTTTTGCAACTTGAACAACAAAGAATAGAAAGACAGTAAAGTGCTGAAAGAGAAAACAAGAAAATTGCCTTCCTTCGTAACCAACCATATGCCAAGAAGCCTACCAACATACAGACCAAGACACTAACAACTTTGGTAGCAGGATCTAACTATAACAGCAAGAAAACAGACTTTCACAAAGTCTTAACAGACACAACTGCTGGCACAGCAAGCATGGACATGGAGACTGAAACCCTTCAGACAGAAAGAACATGGAGCGAACAGATGGAAGAAGTGGAAAATGATAGCAGAACCTTCCCGGCCAAACATGCACTTCAGGCAAAAGGGGAGTCAAACCAGAAACACACTTAGGAAGAAGTAAGTATTTCAACAGGAGTACGAAACATAACAACACAGGACGAGTTGATCATCAAAGTAAATGAAGAGAAGCTCTGGGTATCGGTGGACTGGAAGAATAAAGTGGCTCACCCCACCAACAAGCCTAAATCAAGAGCATCAGTCAACTCAGAAGTTAGATATATAGGAGAGAGATTCAAAGTGGGAATCAATACTAATGTCATCCAGACCCAAACAACGATGCAAAGATTCTTTACTTAACTAAAGCCCTCAACTCCCCAGGAATTGTAATCCGTAGCGAACACAACAAAGAAGGCACTTGAATCATCACAATTTTTGGGGATTAACAAGCAGCAGATAACACAACCAGAAAGGAGTTATCAAATCTAGGTAACAATAAGCTCACACATATGCAGATCAACAGACAAATGATTGAAAAGAGTAAATCTATAGTGGTCTGGGATATATCTTTGAACACAAGACTCATGGAGATCAGATAGCACTTTGCCAGATTTGATAACATATCAGGAATAAGTATAAGAACACAGAATCTGTGACAGTGTGCTACCATCACTTTCGAAGAAGAAACAGTTAAGGAAAAACTAGTTAAGCAATATAACATTCTCATCAAAGAGGATTCAATTAGAATAAACAATGTCAACTGGTCTGTAGACCAGATAAGAAAATGACACAACATAGCAGTCAAACTGGTTAACTTGTCACCGAGCACCACAGCATGGGACCTGAGACAGGCACTAAATGAGATAAAGGCATGTACATATTACATATCTTACACATGCTCAACAAGGTATCAACTCAAGAAATTTGTAGTGGTAAGTTTTGAAACAAGAAAAGATCTCTTTATAGCCAAGGATTTGATCTTCATCCTAAGTGAGACTATTATCTTCCTGACCCCTATTAGCACATTACTATGTTTTATCTGTATGTGACAACACACCTTGCCAGAGACTGCTCCATCAAAGAATGAAGGAAACAATAGAGGGATTTCAATCACACTCAAACTGAAAAGTATAACAAATTTATAGCAAATTCAAACCAGCTAGAATGGACAGACTTAGAGCAGACTCCTTCCCAAACAACAAGAGAAATGCTAAACCAGCATTATACGTAGCAGCGACAAGAGCAACTGGTAAACAACAGGATAGGGCAAACTAGGAACAAACTTAGCTCAAGTGGCAGAAACAATCTCTTTATCAACAAGGGCATACATAGCAACTTCCAGATATTCACGAAATTATGACAATGCTTATATTGATATAGAAAGAGATTGTAAGCCTCAAGGAAATAGTAATAAACCTGAATGAAAGGGTTATCAACTTGGAAATATACAACTAGGAATACTATGAAGAGATAGAACAAGACTCAGACAATGGTGGAAAAGAGCTGGACGCATTATGAAGGAACAGCGTCAGTGATTCATAAGTCCCGTCTTAAACCCAGGAAATAGTGGACATCCGTGAAAGACAGCAACAGATCAACAAAACAATAGAGGACATGCAAGTAAACTTGCAGATAGCACTTGAGACCATAGGCTCCCTGACAGACAACTACTAACAAAATCAATAACAATCTTATATTCGATAAATCCAACAATCAAGAAATTTTAACAAACAATATTCAGAACATGAAAACAAATAGTACAGAAATATTAAATTTAACAGATACAGACTTTATAGTATAAATCGTAACCTCAAACATAAGAAGCCTTAACAAAGAAACAAACAGAACCTCTTGGATAGATTTATGGTGTAAAATAAATTGGGATATTATTATTAGTACTTAAACAAACGGGAAAGACTGCATATCAAAATATTGGAAAATAGAAGAATATGAGTGCTACTGGACCAATTCAGATCAAAAACAAGGCACAGGTGTATGGATGGCCCTCCGACTCGAACTATCAAGAAGAATAATGAACAAGAAAACCATAGAAGAAAGGGTGATCATGCTGAACCTATTATTTCCATAAAAGAAATACTTAAGAATTATAGATCTATATTCATCAGTGAAGCATTTGGACCAACCCCATTTTGAAAAGAAAATAATAAGGTGGCTTAACTCAAGCTACAAAGCAAACTGGGAGACCATAGTGACAGAAGACTTGAATGACATGAGCATACCCAGCATGGACAGATTCTCAAGCAAGCATCATCGCTTCAAGAACAAGTTATTATCAAACAGCATTCTAATCAATGACCTCAAGAACCAAGACATGTTAGATACATTCCGATCAGCAAATCTACAGAAGAGAGAGTACACATACAAAGGTGAAGTGGAAATAGCAAGCAGGATCAACCAGGTATGGATAATGCAAAATAAATATGTGAAAATTCTCTTCACAGAAATTAAGAACGAGTATAAACTGATGTATGAAAGTGACCATGGAATCGCAATCACCAAAATACATGTGTTCTTCCCCCTTCTTAGGAAAAAGAAAAACATTCAAAAAGCATCCAATGCCCAGTACAATTGGTCAGGCATAGATCCAGTACAATGGGAGAAGTGGATCAGACATATAGAAGAGAAGGTGAAGGCTTGTAAAAGGCTATTTGAGTTCAGAACGGATGGTGACGAGCTATGGTGTAGCCTAAGAGAGATAATTCTCAAGGTAACAAGCCTACATATATCAAAGTTCAAAAAGACACAGGTCAAGACATGAAACAGACAAGAAATACATATAAGGGCCACATCGACCAAGTTGATTGGACTCTATCAGCTCAAGAAATTTATAGCAGAAGTGGTGAACAAAAATCCTGGGACTGAAGCAAGGGAAAAAATTATAAACCTGATACAGAACAATGGACTCGAGCTTCCAGAAGAGCTAGAGAGCCCAGAGGACTTAGAAGCAACCAGAGTCAGGGTAATTGAAGAAGTAAAAACATCAAACTCAGCTTATACAGATAATAGTATAAAGAGAACAGTATAAGAATAAAAAAGGTCATCGATAATTATCTTAATTGATTTGCCATAGACAAGAAGAGGATAATAGATAGTTTTCTCGAAAGGAAGAGATAGAAGATCAAACTAGACAAGTTGATAGTAAAAGCTGATGAACCAAATATTATCCTAGATAAGGAAGAAATTAGAATACAAGTATAGAGCCACTTTGAGAAATGGACTAAGAGATCCATCCCGATTGATACTCCACAGGAATGGCAAGAAGAATATAGATCCCTACAACGAATTGATGCAGATTGATATGAAGGAGTCACTAAAGACTTCTCGATGCTAGAAATAAATAACATCATATTCAAGGCAAGCAAAACATCCGTATCTGGTCCCTCACAAATCCCATACATAGCATTACATCATCTTGGCCCAAAAGCAATTGGGAGCCTAAAGGTGATCTCTAACACAATAC